GTTTACCCCCTACTTGCTGCCGTTAGACTGTCAGTCCATAGAGGACCCCCTGACAACATGGGGTGCAGAGGACACTGTAAGGGGGGGGGGTCATGGAGGATCAGGAAGACGGATCACATTGGTGAGAACTCAGACACAGATCTGATGGCGGACGTTTCCTATGAGCCCGGTCTACAGATCTGTGTACATGACCGCCGTCCTCCCAACCAATAGGAAACCTTCCTGCCGACACATGACCAGATCTGCTCCCTGGAAGATCCCGGGGCCCCTGACACAGCCGGCTCCTCTGGGATATGTACAATGATGAGGAATCTTCCTGTGTGGGGGCCCCGGGGGTCAGATGAACAGTACAGACCCCCCCCCCTGTCTGATCTGTATACAGGACACATGTATATCGGGAATGGGGCTCTTCTTTGGAGGTTTCCATGGTAACTGATAAGAATCCGGGGGAATTATTTCTGTAGAATTGTGATATAAATAATTGCCGAGAGATGAAGGGGGAGGGGAAACCTACCATGTGCTATATATGGGGGACACGTCTACCATGTGCTGTATACTGGGGGCACCCTCCCCCCCGCCATATGGGGGACACCCCCCGTGATAGATACAATCGGGCCCGTCCTGTGATGATCGGAGTGAATGGGAGGACCGGACAGTGTGCAGGCCTCAGCCGGCTCCCCTCACACACGGGCGGCGCTCAGACACTCCGGGTTCTCCTCACACGGCCGCCCTCATCTCTCACATAAGCAGTCTCCGACATCGGACTCCCCTTACACACACCGCGGCTCCCCCGTTCTCACCCCCGGCCCCCTCAGGGCCCCGGTCCCTCGCTTACCCCGGAGCGTGCATGCGACCCATGATGGCGGCTCGAGAGAAAAGAGAGATGGGAGGCTGCGCATGCGCTGATTAGCGACCGAGGAGGAACTACGTCACCTTCAAGGGGTGGAGCTTCCTGTGTCTTCCGCCCACTACACCCTCCTGCAGCTTCTCCGCCACGCCCCCACCCTCTCATCCAGGGTTGTGCACGGACGGTTGAGTAGAGGGCGGTGCCTGTCAGCAGTACCCAATCACAGCACGGAAATCATTTTAGAAGCAGGAGGAGGGGCTACGAGAAGACAGGCAGAACCCCGGAAGAAGCTCTGACACTGCGGAGACATGGCTCTCAACAGGAAACACGTGACGAAGTGTCTGCGTGACCCCTCCAGCCAATCAGATCACACCGTTTCATTACGTCTTGATACAATGTATCCGGTATTCCATCGAATGATTTCCCTCCAGATGACAAATTTCCTATTGGATGGAACACAGATATATTCCACACCTGAAATGGGAGGGGCTTATCATTGCAAGCGCAACGTATTCAGAGGACACGCCCCCGTTAATGTATACCATGCGAAGGAACGCACAAAAATGATCGGATTGAACAATTTAAAGATTATATATCCTCAAATCCTTTTGTCTCTTCATGTAATCCCAGGCAGACTCCATGATGGCGAGATCCGGGCCCTGTGGGGGCCCCACCATCACTTCCAGGACTCTATGTTCTTCTTAATGACATTGGGTGTATGTTGGGGGTGGGTGTCCTGCTACAGAATACATTTTGGGTCAATCAAACTCCCCCCCCCAATGGTTCGGCATAATCTGCTTGTATTTCTCAGCATTGATCCCGACCAAATCTCCCTCCAACTCCATTGGCAGAAATGCCGCCCCAGACTTGCCGGGAACCTCCATCATGCTTCACAGTTGGTGCAGACTCTCATTATTGTACCGCTCTCCAGCCCCTCCCCCGAACAAACTGCCTCCAGCGACAGACAAATATTTCACATTGTGACATTTTTCTGCCCCCCAGTTCCCATGTTTTCCTGCATAGTTGAGTCGCTGAGTCTTGTTGTGGCTTTTTGGCCGCAATTCTTCCCTGAAGACCACTTGTGGCCAGACGTCTCCGGACGGTAGATGGTGTACCCGGGTCCCGCTGGTTTCCAGACGTCTCCGGAGGGTAGATGGTGTACCCGGGTCCCGCTGGTTTCCAGACGTCTCCGGAGGGTAGATGGCGTACCCGGGTCCCGCTGGTTTCCAGACGTCTCCGGAGGGTAGATGGCGTACCCGGGTCCCGCTGGTTTCCAGACGTCTCCGGACGGTAGATGGCGTACCCGGGTCCCGCTGGTTTCCAGACGTCTCCGGACGGTAGATGGGGTACCCGGGTCCCCCTGGTCTCCGGACGGTAGATGGCGTACCCGGGTCTCATAGTTACATAGTATTTGAGGTTGAATAAATACATTAGTCCATCAAGTCCAACCTATTAGGATCTCATTCTAGGAGTACCTGTACCCCTGTATGTTACCCGTACCCCTGTATATTACCTGTACCCCTGTATATTACGGTCCCTTAAGAAATCGTCCAAAAGTTTCTTGAACAATTCCACATTCTTTGCTGAAATCACTGTCTGTGGCAGTGAGTTCCAGACCCATCTTACGGTGAAGAACCCCCTTCGCACCTTGTGCTGGAATTTTTTTTCCACCAATTTTAGGTGATGGCCTCTAGTTTTTGTAACGGAGTTAATTTTAAACAGTTTATCGCTAATGTTGCTACCACCATTAAACATTTTGTACATGGAAATCATATCCCCCCTTAATCTCCTCACCTCTAATGTGAACATGTTTAAATTTAGTAGCCTCGTCTCGTAGCTCTGGTCCTCCATACCCCTAATTAGTTTGGTTGCCCTTCGCTGGACTTTTTCCAACTCAAGGACATCTTTTCTTAGTACTGGTGACCAGAACTGGACCGCGTACTCCAGATGAGGTCGAACCAATGATCTATAAAGTGGCAAAATTATAGACTTGTCCCTGCAATACATCCCCTTCTTAATACAGGACAAGACCCTGCTAGCTTTGTTTACAGCAGCCTGGCACTGCAAACTACCTTTCAGTTTGTGGTCTACAATGACCCCCAAATCCTTCTCCATTTCTGACTTCCCCAGCGGCA